CCCCAAAACCCCAAAACCCCAAAACCCCAAAACCCCAAATGCTTGTAAAAATAACTCTTAGGATAAATTAGTAATTCGAGGAATTATAAACATTAATATAAACTAAATAAATATGAGAAGAATATCTTTATTCATCATCTCTGCTCTATTTGGAATTTTCAATAGAGTTCAATCTTAAGGATACGATAGACAAGCATTAGCAGGATGGTTCCTCGGTCTTAATCCAGAAAAAGTTGTTTATGCAGTAAACTGTGGTTCTAACGATGAGGCTACTGACATGATTGGTGTCAGATACATGCCTGTAAGTATACATCCTATTCTCATTCATCTATTAACTTTGATCATAGGATCAAGGATTCACTGGGGGTGTTGCCTCCGAAGATGGTGTTGGGCATTAATGGCTATTCCCGAACTCAGATATTTATCACTCTGAGAGATATGGAGCAAATGAAGGATTTAAATATCACGTGCCATTGCCAAAAGAGGGATAATATGCTCTCGTGTTAAAGTTCTCTGAGGTCTACTTCTAGGAGCCAGGCCAAAAAATATTTGATATTAAGATTGGAAAGAAGACTATCGTTCCTGACCTTGATATTTTTGGAAAGGTTTTCTCCAGAGCTATCCCTTATGATACCTTTACTGAATTCAAAGTCAAGGATGGAAAAATTTTTGTTCAAGTAAGTGTTATAATTATAGATTCATTAATTTCTTTCTAGGGTGAAGAGGTTCAAGGAGCTGTAAAGAATGGAAAATTCTTGATTGATTTCGTTGTCGGTAAAGCTGACAACCCCAAAGTTAACGCAATCCTGATTGTTGAAGGTGGATTAAAGAATACCCATCACTAAGCCCATGAAAGATACCTTAAGGAGTTGGACAAAATCAGAAAATTGCAAGATGGTCAAGCTACTGAGCCAGCTGAATAACAACAATAAGAAATGCAAGCCCCATTCTCCTCAAATATCGACTTTTTCGCTGATGATGAGGATCTTTCTCAACCCAAAGGTTAAGTTAACTCACTCCTAGAAAGTCCATACATGCTTGAAGGTTTTTCAATCGGTTTCCTAATTCTTTTCTTCGGAATTCTCAATGTTCTTACCACTGAAAATGAGAATGCATTAGTTAGCAAAGCAGATCTTAAGAGAAAAAGAGATTGAAGCAATTATTCTCAAATTAACCTCAATAAATTGATTAATTCATCATATTTAGCTAAATGGGATATATATTCATTCACGGGGTTTTGGGGTTTTGGGGTTTTGGGG